TGGGAGTCTTTCAGACAATTTCAAGGAACGAAAGACTGATGCCCTTTTTCTTAGATATCTTTTATTACCGCAGAAAGCGTGCTATGGGGTCGTTTTCTATGACAAAAAAAAATGAAGGAGGGTCATAAATAATTGACGGGATAAAAAGCATTCCACAGCGTAAAAACATTAAGGAATTAATAAGAAACAAAACAAGAATAAAAAGTCGGCAATATAAAAACAATAAAGTAACAAAAATAAGAGAAACAAAGCACAAAGGCTTACTGCCCCAGCGGTGGCAGTAAGACAAAGACCATTGAGCTGCGTAGCACAGCTACTTTTGGAGCTTTGCGTACCCAGCAAACATGCCGAGGAAAGCGGTGTGACGTCAACCATGTGGGGGTTTCCACAGGACACATTCTGTGGGCCCTGGTCTTTGTCAACACTATAAAGGTTCTGTAATTTTATTACAATAAGCTTAAACCGTGCTCCATTGCAATCTTTAGCCTGCAAGAAATCTAAACAGCCTATCTATGCCTCTAGCATGGTACTAAGATTGGCACGTGACGCTAAAAGACGACTAACTGAAAATAAGTAGGATCAGTTGATTATTTCCCTACCTTAAAAAATGGGCCGAAATCGCTGCTGCCGCTACGCTGATTCCCAAAGACATGCCTGAGAATTTTGCGCACCGGTTATATATAATAAAGCATGATGAACGTAACCTCTCAACACTTCTGCGGGATGAACATTCCCGAAACCCCTCTTCTCTCTGGTGCAAGCAGATCAGATCACTTAGCGTGTGCATGAAGGACGTGCGCGCGATTAACGTAAAACAAGAGAGTCATTTCGTTTGCGTATTAATTCATCGCGAACGTGCGTTTTATCCTGCGGCGGATATTTGGTGGTTTCGCGCAAACAGCGGCATCGGTCCTTTGGGCCTCGCGTGACCGCGCACGTCGTGACTACAGGGGTGATGACACCGTGCGTTTACAGCCCGTTGGTATGGTAAGAGGACTGCACGTCAAGAACGGCGTGGAGGCGTGGCAGGTCCAAGAACAGGACTGCAGCCCATGTGCGTCCACAGGTCTCCAAAACCGGCGACAGGAGCTTCCGAGGACGTCCAAAGCCCGCAACCGCACCCCGCCCGCCACCTGTCGGTGCTTGCAAAAGGTGTTTCCTAGCCAGTTTCCACCATTAGTGGGGCTCTGGCGGTTGCGAACTATGGTTAGTCCAAACCAGTCCAAGGACAGCGCATCTACTGGAGAACTACCCCATAATGCCCCACGTATCACGTGTGATATGCCACACAAGACAGCCTTTGAGTGCCCAACATGCCAACATATATCACGAACAACTGTTCTATCCAGTGCGCCACATCCCCGAAAATAATTTTCCGATTTCGAAAGTTCCCGTAATAACCGCTTGGGGGTTCGAAGCATTTTCAAAATGAAGTCGGCGATTTCAGGTCGGACTTTTCGCAGACCTTAAGCAGAACGTCTGGGTGAGTGTTATACCTGCTATGCTATAGACTGCGCCTAGTAAGGACTATACTCTGCTAACATTGTGTTTTAACTTTAGCGAATGCGTTTTGCTGTCATGCACAAGTGGTTGCAAAGCTCCGTATGACGTATCATACTCTGGGTGTTTAGTGTAACTAAAATGCTATGTACCATGTGTGATGTAGTAATGCACAAAAACAAACTTTTCTATAGTTATTATAATCTACATTCATTCTTCTTTTCCCTTTCAGCCAAGACAACGCCAAGGAACATCTTGGAGAGCCTCGTTAATGTGACGTCAATGATTTCGATGATAGCAGCGGTGATGAATTCATCGACGAAGTCTTGAGCATACGTAATGTTCAGAAACTGGCACACTCCAACGACCAGGACGATGAAGAATCTGATGAAGATAAAAAGCCTGAAGGCGACGGGGACTGTCTTGCGGCCCAGGTGTCGACTCAAGAAAACGGGAGGTGAAAGAAAATCTTGACAACAACCAAGGCCTTCCTTTCGCTGAAAATCTATCTGTGCCTGAAGACGTAAAAAGTCCCTTAGTCCACTTTAGTCAGTTGATTATAAAAGCTGTAATAAAGATCGTTGCAGAACAAATGAACACTTACAGCCACCAGAAATGTGGAGCTTCGATCACCGTCAGTGAGAGAGAAGTAGAGTAAATACTTGGCATGTACCTCCAGATGGAGCTGATGGATATACTCTCAGTAAGACGCTACGGGGGTCATAATCAAGGTACTGGAAAATTTATGATGTCATGAGCCGCAACTGCTTTGAAGCCATCGTCAGAAATTTACACTTCACGAATAATTTGGACAGCATAGAAGAACAAAAAAAGACGAAGCCTGGAAAATACGGCCATGGATACAAGCAATGAATGAAAGCGTCAGTACCATCGAATCTGGATAATAAGTTAATTCTGTCGATGAGATAAAGACCTGTTTCACAAGACGCACATCCGTGAAGCAATACATGCCGGAGAAGCAAGTGCCTCGGGGCATCAAGCTTTGAGGAAGGTCCGGAACTTCTGGAATACTTTACTGTTTTAATTTTAATGTGTACCAAAGAAAAAAGAAGCTGTAACTACACACATGGACTTAGTGGGGACACGGTGATGAACATGTGCGCGTCAGTCTTAAGTGAGAGAAATTTCAAGGTAGCGGCAGATAATGTTTTGTACATCTATACCTCTCGCAGTTGCCTTGAGGACAAGAACCATATGATTTATGGAACCATTCGTCAAAACCAATTACGAGGCTGCCGATTGGCTAGCGAGAAAGATCTGAAGAACCTTGGCGGAGGTACACATGCCGTCTACCAGTTTGCGGCGCAGATGCAACTCTCTGTTTGGTGAGATGGTTCGATAAACATACTGTCACTTTTTTTTATAACTACGTTGGAAATGCGCCCGTCAGATCTGGCAGACGGTACGACAAGACTTAAACAACTCACATTTATGTGTCGCAACCGCACATTCTAGCAATTTACAACTCGCAGATGGGTGGTGTGGACTTGCATAGCTACATTTTGCAGATGCTCAAGTACAAAGTGAAGTCCAGGCGTTAATACCTCTATGCTTTCTATCACATCATTATCATGTGCCTGGTGAAAGCATGGCTAGTCTACAGAAGACGTTGCACACAACTTAAGAGACAGCACGTGAGGCTGCGTAAGTTCCAAGCAGCGGTTGCTGATGCACTTGTTAAGAGCAACAAAGTCGCCAAGAGGGCGTCCAAAGAACAGCACAACTCCCCCACAAAACAAAAGAAGACTCGTCGCTGCCCCACAGGGAAACGTCAGAGAGAGAATGTCGGCCACTTCCTTGAGTGGACAGCAGCAAGGCAGCGCTGCAGGCAATGCAGTGCATCAGACAACCATTTTTCCTTCACCCGATGCACAAAGTGCTTGGTACACCTCTGCTACATGAATGAGCGCAAGTGTTTCAGCGCATACCACTGTTAGTGTAACGTCGTGTTTTAGCGTACTTAATGCCTACTGTATCATATATGATAGATACGTTTTGTACGCTGAAGAATAAGTTTCACTAAAAATACCTTGGTATGCAGTATTTTCATCACAGTCTAGAAAGATTTTCAATTGCAGATTTTTACACTGTCAAAAAATGTTGGAAATTACAGGGTTTTAAAAAAATTTGACACAGAATGAGTTTTATCATTCACATTTTATGGATGTGTGCCACGTTGGATCGAATCGAAGCACCGACAATGGATCGCGTTACGTCTATCGGAACGCGATGCTCCAGAGTGAGAGGGCGTGCAAGATCGTCTTCTTGTGGCGCACCTCGTGCGCTCGTTGATATATGTATATATATATATATATATATATATATATATATATATATATATTTAGGCGTCGTCCGAAACCCCAAATCAGTAATTTTTAGAAAGACTTTGAGCGCGTGAAAAGCGCAAGAGTGCACTAAAGTTACCACTCGTGGAGCAGGTACGAGGCTGGGGGTAGATAAAAGACGGAAAAATTGCGCGGGCGCCTTACCGAAACCGCTAGCCTTTTACCTGATCCACGAGTGGTAACTTTAGTGCACTACCACGCTTCTCACGCGCTGAAAGTCTTTTTTAAAAATGACTGATTTAGGGGTTTTGGACGAGGCTCAGCATGTTTCTAATTGGAACCATATGGCTATTTTCACTACTTAAAAAGTTCATTAGTGAATTTTAATTAATTAGCCGACTTATCGCAAAGATTAGCCACCGGCATAATGTCCCCCTGGGCGTAATAACTCACTCGCACAAACTGCATAAGTGAAGCTTTCATGGCTTTTTTTTAAACAAATCTGTAAGAATAAAAAAGCAAAACACCCTGCATACATATATCTATATATATGCCACCATGCCTACTATATATATATATATATATATATATACTAGGCATGGTGGCATAGGAGCCAAGGGGCGGAACGCGTATATATAACGAAGTGAAAAACTTACGGTGAGAAACAACAAACAGCGTAAGTTTAATCGACACTTTCGCCGAGAGACTCGGCTTCGTCAGATCTCGTGAGGAAGCCGACTCTCTTGGCGAAACTGTCGATTCAACTTCCGCTGTTTGTTTTTTCTCACCGTGAGTTTTTCCCTTCGTTATTTATTTATATATATATATTATTACAGAGCTCATGAGATGCCTAGAGAAGAAGAGGTAGAGGATCGCCAGCGCGCTCGCAGCAAGGGATTCAATCCTCTGTCTACCGCCATTACCCAGCTATAAATAAATCATCATCGTTTTCACCGTAACATTCTTTGGTGGACGTGCGGACCCATGCCCGACCTGGACCTTCGCAGCAGGAGTCTTCCGCCCGCATCCAACATGACTCCACCTCCAGCGACACCACCCGAAGGCGCTCCACCTACGCCCCCGCCACCCTTAGTCCTCACAAAGCCTCGGGACCCCGGACCTTTTACCGGTACAGGCGACCAGGAAATAGAACACTGGATCGACCTCTATGAAAGAGTAAGCTTCCATAACCGATGGGACAATACCATCATGCTCGCGAACATTATTTTTTACTTGCGAGATACCGCCCGGACATGGTTCGAAACGCATGAGGAAGAGATCACCTCTTGGGAACTCTGTAAGTCCAAACTTCAAGACCTTTTTGGACGTCCCACCGGGCGTAAGCTGTCTGCGAAGCGTAAGCTGGGTTCCCGCGTACAAACATCTACAGAGTCATATGTCACCTATATACAAGACGTCATCTCTCTCTGCCGCAAGGCTAACCCTGAGATGTCAGATACTGACCGCATCGAGCACATCTTAAAAGGCATAGCAGACGATGCCTTCCAGCTGCTTGTAATCAAAGACTGCTCAACGGTCGACGAGGTCATCAAGGAGTGCCGCCGGTTCGAAGCTGCTAAAACACGAAGGATAGCACACAAATTCAACCGCTTGCCCAACACACCAGCAACATCATCTTGCGAAGACACAGATGCCAGTTCGGTACAGATTACCAAAATCGTCCGCCGAGAGCTGGAAGCAATGATGCCTAGTGAGGGTTCCTCTCGCCCTTCCGAGTCGCCGAACGTAACAGTATCAATAGCTGCTGTTCAAAGTGTCGTCAGGAAGGAAATGGAGAAGCTCTGCGCGTCTTCATGCCCCCGCTTCCAACCCACCGCTGACCATCATATTTCTGATCGTTGCCCCTGTGAACCTCCAACTGCAGCGACAGTCTTCAGACCGCCCCAACGTCGGGACCCAGCCGCATGGAGAACACCCGACAATCGGCCAATTTGTTTCCACAGCAACGTGGTTGGTCATGTCGCCCGCTATTGCCGCAACCCATGGAGCAACCAGCAGCCCAGGTTTCCATTTTCCAGCTCCAGTCGCCCTTACAGGGGAAGCTTCTCGCCATCTCCCGGGCTCCCCGCGAATGAACAAGTATATTATCGCTCGTCACGCAACAATCGTTCGCCATCGCCGCGCCGTCGCCAGTCGCTATCTCCAGTCATCCGCCGCCAACTGTCGCCGTCCCATGACCTTCGACCTTCGGAAAACTAACCAATGCAGCTTCAAGAGGTGAGGCTGCATTGGAGTCCCGAGCCCAAAATCCTCCACGAAGCATCGCCGCTATAGCCAAGAATCGGCTGCTGAACGACATTGACGGTATTAGCACATTTGCCCTTGTTGATACCGGAGCCGCTATTTCCATCATGCGCGAAGACCTCAGACGACGCTTACGAAAAGTTCTGACGCCACCTGACACAAACATTCTGCGCGGTGCTGACGGCGGCGCAATCTCTCCTCATGGTATGTGCGGTGCTCGCATAACCCTTCATCACAAGACCGCATTTGGTCTTTTTACAGTCCTTTTTTTTTTTTTTTTTTTTTCTTTATTGGTTTTGCGGATTTCAATCCGCAGAGGGGGCAGAGATAAAGGCATGATGCCTGACAGCGCCTCTGCCCCCTGCAGTTCATACAGCGGAAATAGCATTTCAAAGAAGTCATAGTGATAATAAATAACAAGACAGCCATCGTCATAAAAACAAATCGAAACAATTATTATAGAAATATCTGAAAGCACATGAAATACAATGACTCAGCTCAAACAACTACACAAGCGGCACTGCTTGAACAATGCGGGGCGATATGCTTATCATAACCCAGAAGTCAAATAAAATAAAAATAAAGATAAAGACAAAAATAGACACCGTTTTTTTTACATATCCACTAAACATTTATAAACAAGGACTTATAAGAGAAAGCGGAAACAAGCTAAATCAAAACCAAAAATCAGGCTACAAAGCCAAAATTGAGAATTCCGAAGTTTCGTAGTACGTTACGTTTTATTGAAAATAAATATAAATAGATATGCATGCCTTAAATAGATGAAAATGCGATATCACTGCAAACCAGAGCTCGTCTGCAGTCTCTTTTGAACTTTGGAAAAGGGGAAGTGAAATTAACATCAATGCCAGGGGAATTTAATAATTTAGTACTCATGTACGATAAACTTTGCCTGCCATAATTTGTTCGTATGCTTGGGATTCTACGTTTCGGGTCTCGTAATGTGTAGGCACTAGAAGGAGGTGTCTGTGTCAAATAGAGGTTGTTTTTGTAGATCCATTGAAATAATTTGAAGTGATATATCTGGTCTGCCTTCAATATATTATATTTAACAAAAAGTGGTGGAGTGCTCAAATTTCTGACATTACCTCTGTAATTTTCGCAAATACGAAGAATTTTTTTCTGAAGGATGATTAGTTTGTTGTAGTTAGATGCAGTGGTTGTACCCCAAACCAACAAACCATAACTGATCTTAGAATAAAAGAGAGAATAATACAACGTCATTTTAAGCCAAGTGGGTATCAAATTTTGCATTTTATATATAATACCAACAACTCGAGACAGCTCTGCCTTCATTCTATTTACATGGGTGGACCACGTGAGCTCTTCGCTAAACCAGACTCCCAAGAACTTTTGCTCTGCAACTTGTTCTATAACGGTGTTTTCAAATATAATGTTAATAGAACTGTTGTCTCGCTCACTAACAGGTTTGAAGATTATGTATTTTGTCTTACTTGTGTTTAGCTTCAATCTATTTACTCGTAACCAATTCGATAAATTAATGAGGTAAGCATTGCAAGCATTTTCTAGGTATTCTTTAGTCACACCAGTAAAAAAGACATTTGTGTCATCAGCATACATTACTAACTCAGGGGAGCCTGGTATTATCGTTATGTCATTCACGTAAGCTAGAAATAATAAAGGACCGAGAATGGAACCTTGAGGAACGCCGTGCTGTATTCTCAATTTACTAGATGCTATGTTGTTAATAGAGACGTACTGCTGACGATTTTGTAGATAAGATTCTATTAGTTTTAGCGCTATTCCTCTTATACCGTATCTCTCCAGTTTTTTTAGCAGGATATCATGTTGAACAGTATCGAATGCTTTTTTAAAATCTAAAAACAAACCAAGCGTGAGCTGTTTGTTTTCAATGTTTTCTACAATTTTGTCCTTAATGTCTAGGAGTGCTTGCTCGGTTGATTTATGTTTCTGAAAGCCATATTGCTCTTTCGTTATTATGTCATACTTCAGAAAAAAGCTAGTTAATCTATCATTGATCACGCGTTCATAAATTTTTGAGAATATTGGCAGAAGAGAAATTGGTCTGTAATTACGAATATCTGTTGCTCTACCTCCCTTGTATACAGGAATAACTTTTGCTAATTTTAGTTCGTCAGGAAAGTCACCACTCACAAGCATCTTGTTTATAACGTCGGATAGTAATGAACTCAGCAGAGCTGCTTTATATTTAATCGGCAGTGCCTTTATTTCGTCATCACCGGCGGCAACATTATTTTTTAAGCTGTCAATTATTTTATTCACTTCCCTTGGCGTTGTCGGAGCTAGCATTATAGATGCAGACGGATTAGCGGTCGTTGTGTATTCAGCTATGTAGTCGTGTTGTTCAGCGTACTTGCCGATATCAACAAAGTGCTGATTTATTTTTTCGGCAAGTGCTTCACCAGATACACTTTGATTATCTATTAGGATATGCTCCACGTGGTTGGTTGCTTGCTTTCTATTAGTGAGATCGTTTACTGTGTCCCATATTTTTCTATGGTCATCGTGATTGTGTTCGAATTTATTTTGATAATATTCGCACTTTGCCTTTTTTAGGTCCGAGTTTAATTTATTTCTTATCTTTTTAAACTCAGCGAGCATGCTTAGGTCACGATGCCTAATAAAAGCGTGAAACTTCCTATCCTTATCTTTTATTCTTTTCAGCAGGTCAGCAGTCACCCACGGTTTTCTTATCTTTTTATTTCTTACTTTTGTTTCCTTCAGAGGAAAAGCTGTATCATAGCAGTTTTTAAATTTTACTAGAAAGTTTTGATAAGCTACTGCAGCGTTGTTTTCAGAGTAAACGTCATCCCAGGTTTCCTGTTCTATAAGGGAACTAAATTTGCTCAGGGTATCTTCGCTTATTGTACGATGCCAAAACGTTTTCGAGTCTTTTACACGAGCCATTTCAGGAGTAGATCCCAAGCAAAAAATCGGAAGATGATCGCTTATGTCTTGTACTAAAACCCCAGCTATAACATCATTTTTATTTAAGTTTGTGATGCATACATCGAGAGAGGTGGCAGTATTTAAGGTCACCCTTGTTGGCAGCGATATCACATTATTACAGGCATGCTCATTAAGCAAATCTCTGAATTCTTTTGCTTGTGAATTATCGGAAATGGTGTCTATATTTATATCTCCCAGAATCACGAGAGGCGCTGAAGTTGATCCTAGAACACACAATATATTATCAAGCGTATTCATGAATTCAGCAATATTGCCCGAAGGCGGTCTGTATAAAGCAACAACTACTGTGTTCGATATTTTGATAACTAAGCTTTCAATGTTTTCATCAATCCTCGTGAATTCGTCAATTATTTGGTACCGTAGATTGTCCTTGATATAGATTGCTACGCCTCCACCTCTTTTTTCTTGTCTGACCAGACTTTCGCATTTATAACTATGAAACTTAGGTGGTGAGTCAATACTCGTTAACCAGGTTTCAGTAAATATAATTGCATCAAATTTTGCATTTACAGAATGTAATACCCCTGTCAGACGGCAGCTAAAATGGCATTTACGCCAAATGACATTCAGGTTTTCAAATGACATTCATGATGGGACCTGCCAGACGACAACTAAAATGACATTTAAGTGATGTCTATTACAATTGCGATCGCAAATTCGTCTCGTGCACATAGAACACGTTTTCGTCAATAAACAATTTTAACACGGCAAAACACTTGTTTTTGTGTGTGTTGTCTGCTGGGACAAGAAAATATAACAAAAAACTGGGATAGAAAGTTGCGCTCACTAGTTTCTGACGAAAAAATAAAGCGAAGCGTGGGGCGAAATCCATTAGCCAACCTAACGTCGTCATAAGCCGATCCGTAAGCCGAGCCTCCCGCGCTCCGCCACTACAGCTGACAGCTTGCTCGGCTTGCTCGCACAGTTCTTTCGTTAATTTCGGTAGTGCTTGCTTGCTCTGGCTGTCCCTCACGCTCGATCTTCGGCTGCCGTGTTCACTTCTACGTCTGCGAGGGATCTTGGATGCCGTATTGCGCTTCCGCCGTCACTATCACGGCGGTATGGATTGATCTTGGTTCGAGCGTCTCCGGCAGTTGAGAAGGCCGTCCATCATCTTCGTCGTAGACGCATTCCGCGAGCTTCGGTTTGAAGACAGGCTACCGTACCTACTAACGTACTGCGTCTGCAAGCAGGCGTTTGGCTGATGTCGGCGACGTGATCAGGCACCTTGTGAATGTGTGTCGGTGTTACATAGAGTGCTTGGTTCGCCAGGTGTCTTGCGTGCACCTAACCACCCCAGTGACAAAGTGAGTCGGCGCTGCAAAGCTATACTCTCCTGCGGAGGACAGAACCATCGCCAACTTGCTCGTCGTGAGGCAAACCACTGCCAAGTGATCGCACCCCTCCGACGCGACTGGCCGAAGATCTTGAGCGCCGCCGCGACCGCTGAACGGTTAAACACACACGGGATAACCGAACTGCCCCAGGACTCCCTCAGGTCATTGGGAATCGCTGTAGGAATGCCACCTGGGACATCAAGTTTCAGCACCAGCGGCTACCAAAGCACAATAAATATAGTAAGTACCCTTTTTTGCGAAAACCAAGAAAAAAAAAAGAAAAAATGTTTGAACTAGTAGATATAATATCCCTACATGTTTTTTTAGCTCTTAGAAAATGCGGGCAATCTTGTTTCAAACTCACAAAATTAAAAAGATAAAAAAATATTCACTTGTCTTCCTTTTACTGAATGTCACTCAAAACTAACTGATATAGCTCCTGTCAGCATTCTAAAGTTATTCGTTAACTCGTTTTAATGTGAATAAAACAACTGGATTGATCATCTTCCCAATTGTGCATCTTTGATGAGGTGAAAATTACTGAATAACTGTTTCTAAATACGAGACAAGAGTGCCAGCTTCTAGCACTGTAAATACTATGTTTAGAAGCTATAGAATGTTTGCAATTCTGTGAAGTTTCCAAGAA